AAAGTGTTCTTCTATTGAGGGAAGGTATGAACCGAGGCCCAAGGCTTATCTGCAGCTTCAGTGTATTGCCTTATAAATATATGTACATAGGCCAATACCTCTATTGTTATGGATTAATGTATTTACATAAGTGCACACAGCAGAGCAGTTCTAAGAGATTCTGGTTCAAGGAAGGACCCAACAGATGAATCACTGGGCTAAGGTACAAGGGAACCAAAAGTGAGTATATTTTATGAAATACCTGCTCATAGCACACCTTGGCACTTCCAGCTTGTCTCTTGTTAATGAATCCAAAACCCAAACCCACCGCTGTGAGTTGATTCCAACTCCGAGAGACCCTATAGGATATACTAGAACTGCCCCTGTATATTTTCAAAGCTGTAAATCTTTACAGAAGTAGAAAGCCTCATCTTTCTCCCAAAGAGGGGCTAGCAAATTTGAACTGCCGACCTTGTAGTCAGCAGCCCAACATGTATGTTCACTATGCCACCAGAGTTCCTACTCATCAATGAAGAGACTGAATGAATCAGAGTTTTAAAAGGGCAGTAATGTCTTTTCTTACCTGTGCTTCGCAAGTTTCTTTGTATCGTTCCAGTTTCTTCAACAGGTCTTCGTTTTCTGTCTCACACTCAGCCATCTTCTTTTGAAAATATTCCAGCAGCTCTTGAGAAGGGCAGAGGACGGCCAGGCGGTCTTCGGTGGAAGGCAGGGGCGGTGACGCCGGCGAATCGGGGAAAGACATTCCCCTCCACTTCTTGGAACCACTGACCCTGGAGGAAACATTGTTTGGAAACAGCTGTTATTATAAGTGAAATTAGAAAGGATGTAGTCACTGAACTCTGAACATGTATGAGACATTGACTTTTTTTTTTAGTAAAAGGAAAGCTTATGTTCTTAAAATACTTATAATTAAGGTGCATTGAAATCTTCCAAGTTTGGTATGACAGCTTAATAAAAAATCTTGTGAATTGTTTTCCAAGTGTTAGTAGTGGCTTCAAACTGCACTTAACATACATGTGGAAGAATGAAAATAGAATATAAACTAAGTAAGATGAGGTAGTAGCAATTAGAGAATGTAATACTAGGGCTCATAGTATGGAGACCACTTATATGTTGATGGGGTACAAACTGGGAAAATCTAGTACAACTGCAATTCCTCTTGTTCTTGAAAGTCTTGTGCACAAGGTGATATATGAGCTTGTTCACATTATTACATTGTGTTTTGTAGCAGTAAGCAATCCAAATTTAATAGGACACTGGTTAAACGCTGGTATACCCATACAATAGAATGCTATTCAAATTTGTTAGAAATTATAAACTAAAGACCCATGAATATGAATGAACCACATAAGCAATATTCAATGAAAAAATGCATGTGGGCAGATACATAGCAGATACCATCATTTACTTCGGCTCAAATCTTGCATAAGGAATCAGTTTATTCTTAGGAATAGTTATATAAGTAGCAAAATTATTCAGGAGGATGGTAAATATAAAAATCAGGGTTAGAAAATAGTTAGTAAGCACACCGCCCCCAACAGATCCTAGTCCCTAAGGATTTGAAACATTTGGATCCCACATCCCAGGGATAGATGCTCTCAGTGGCAAAAGTCCCTGCTCAAAGGTTTTGAGCAAACCAAAGCCTTAAGCTAAAACAATCAATTAGACAAATGATGCACAAGTGGAGACGTGCTAATGTGAAAGTTAAACCAGTAAAAAAAGAAAGAAAAGAAAATGAAGCCAGTTTGGCTAAGGGCGTGATGTTGGCGACGTCGCCAAATGAGTAGTGGCTGTGGAGCACCTTTCTCCCAGGAGCCCAGAGTTGCGCTTAAACCACAGGTGGGGCAGCACTTTCAGTGTGTGAGCAAGGATACAGGAAATTTCTTTGTTTATCATTATTATTTTTATACAAGAGATTTTAAAAACATACTTAGCACGAAGGGAAAAAATTCAAAAACTAAAATAACCTAACATTCTTCTCAAGTATCACAAGCTTGTGATGGAAATACCATCTTTCTTGTGTTTCAAATTTTCAATGTTAACAACCCTGGGAAGTCAGGCACGATCCAGAAGTATTTCAGAGTCCCACCTACAGATCAACGAGAGATGAAGACGACACCCCAGATAGCACACCGGTGGCAGGTTCAGAAGTGAAAGCCCCGTTTGTATAAGAGCGGTTTCTCTGAAGTCGAGTCCCAATGTAGTACTAGCCCCTCAGAGGGCTGGAATCCTGCTATCATCATTTAGCACGCACCGTCTTTGTACAAAGGAGGTGGGAGTTTACATTTCTGAACATTCACTTTGCCTCCACCAGTCCAAACCACCCATCAACTCTCCACCAGTCCCGCCTGGCCCTCTCCCCTCGTTTGTTTTCCTTTTGCATCTTCTGAGATACAAAGCTTTGAAATGGATATGAGAGGTCAAAGAAAACTGTCACAACAACATGGCTGGTGGCAGATTGATCCATCATAGTTACTGGTGGATCAGAGTCGTGATTGGAACACGATTATTAAGTTTGATAGAGGAGGTTACAATATTGGTCCAGGGGCTCCCCTAAAGTAGTGAGGACATGATGGACGACTATACAACCTCCAGTAATGCAATCTTCATCAAGAACACACCAAGCCCCCTCAGGACCAGTGGTGAGAGTGGCCATACCAGGAGGGGAAGAGGAAGGTCGGGTAGAAAGGGGGAACCCATCACAAGGATTTACATATAACCCCCTCCCTGGGGGACGGAAAAGTGGGTGAAGGGAGACATCGGACAGTGTAAGACATGGCAAAATAATAATAATTGATAACTTATCAAGGGTTCGTGAGGGAATGGGGGTGGAGAGGGAGGGGGAAAACGAGGAGCTGACACCAAGGGCTCAAGTAGAAAGAACATGTTTTGAGAATGATGATGGCAACACATGTACAGATGTCCCTGATACAATGGATGGATGTGTGGATTGTGATGAGTTGTATGAGCCCCCAATAAAATGATTAAAAAAAAAAGAAGAAGAACACATCCAAGCATGTCCCTAAGGGAGACTGCCCCTTTCGGGTTTGATCAGGGTTGGGGGGTGGGATGCTAAAGGCAATCCACCTTCCAATGCACTCCAAAAGGGGTAAGACTATTCATAACAATGGTCAGAGAATTCAATGGAGCCTTTATGTAGGGGCTCTGCAAATGGAATTTGGGCTTTCACTGTCTATCATTCATAGCTTTCTGTAAACCCGGTGCTCAGAATTTAAGCTCTAATACAATTCCTGCCTCTGATCATTACTTCTTTATTAACAATCCTTGGATCCCACAAGCTGGTGTGCTCCTTCCACGTCGACTAAGCTGACACTTCACTTAGATGGCTGCTTGTTTTAAGACAAGCCTTTAAGACCCCAGACACTATTTTTTTCCTGATAGTTGGGCACCATCTGCCTTCTTCACCACACTTTGTATCGAGCAGGGTTGCATTAACACGCACTCTTTTAAGATCTATAGGAGCCCTGGTGTTGTAGTGGTTCCACACGGGGTGGCTAACTATAAGGCCAGAGGCTGGAAACCACAGGAGAAAGAGGCTTTCTACTCTCTTCAAGAACTACTGGGGGTGGGGGTGGGGATATGGGGAGCTGACAGCAAAGAGTTCAAGAAGAAAGAAAATGCTTTGAAACTCATGGTGGTAGCAACTGCACAATTATGCTTGATCTAATTGAATAATGGATTGTTACAATATCTGTAAGCGCTTCCAATAAAATGATTAATAATAATTAAAAAAGATAATTGAATACCTTGGGGATACTTTAGCTACCAATTGAGTGTGCTAAAAAATGTTGAATAAATGATAAACTGTCAAAAACAAAAGAAGGTAGGGGAGGATAGCGATAGGCTTCACCTGTAATTGTGAACAGGATTCCTTGCAATGCTATCCTGCTGTGTATAAAATGAGCCCCGCTGAGAAGCAGGAGGAGGGATCTCATTACCAGGAGGAGCCAGGAGTGGCGCACATCCCTGTGCAGCGAACCTCCCTCCTGGAGCCAGATGACAGCTGTACCATCAGAGGAGCAGCAGCAGAGCCAGGAGCCAGAGAATGGAACAGAGTGATCGATTTCCCAACCCACAGAGCCAACTGAATGCTTTTGTTGGCTTGTTGAATGGGATGCCTGTGCGCACTTCATCGAGGACTGGACTTGCTGAGCCAGGCAGCTGGAGCTGAATGCCTTCAACTGAGGCTTACAGCTGAGTGATAACGCCCCCTTTGAACATTTTTAGCAGACCTAAGACTTTGTAACCTGTCCAGGTAAACAAATACCCTGAACATTTCTAATTGTTAACTTCCTTAATAAACCTCTTAATCAAGAAAAAAAAACCCAAACCCCAAATACAAAGAATTACCATCTCGGAACCTCACAGGGCATTCCAACCTGTCCTCCAGGTCTGCTGAGTCAAAATCAACTCCAGGGCAATGAGTTTAAGTTCTGAATCTCTCTTAATCGAAAGTTTGCATAGTAAGAATAGAAAAAATGACACCAGGCACAGCTCAAATACCCCATGGAGACTCTCCGACTGTACGGAGCCCTGCTGGCCTGGTGGTTACACTTGGGCTGCTAACTGCGAGACTCTTCCAGCCATGCTGACAACTTTAGCCACAAGACAATAGAAGTCTTGATTCCTTATTGTAACTGAAAACTAGGCAAAGGTCTTACTTTCTGCAAACAGGGGTGTGCGTTGGGGTGAAGTCCATGCTGTCTTCTTCACACCTACCAAATATACAAAATTCAGAATCAGAGATAAAGAACAGGAACAAAAAACACCCAAGCAAAACAAAATATCATTATACATATATACAAGACCAATGTTTTTCACTCGTGCAGTCTAGTGATTGTTGAGTTTTGCTGGGAGGCTTTTTATGACCTGTTCCTGGTTTTAGTACCAGGGTTCTGCTTGCTTCACAGAATAAGGTGGGGAGGATTCCATCCTTTTCTATCTTCTGTAATAGAATTAGTGTCGGCTCTTCTCTAATTGTTGGGTAGATTTCACCAGCGCTGTTTCACAAGTCTTTAGTTTTAAGAAGACTTCGGGCAATATTTTGGGGATAAATTTAAATATTATCTCAAGGCAATAGTTTCAGGGGTTTAATTTTCTGATATTCTATAGTGCTGTGCTATCTTTATAATTCTATGTTATCAAAAAAAATTCAAGTTTTAAATTTTTCATTCACGATATTCTTGCTAATTGATTAACATGAAATCTTTAGTTCCTATACTTTGAATAAACTTCTCATTGAAATTTCCAGGAAGAAAAAAAAATTTTTTTTAATTAAAAAGAAATTTCCAGGAAGATACCACCAGTTGATAAGGGAGTACCATGTATTTAGGAATAGGGAGGGGAACTTATTGGCTCTCGCAAAAGGTTTTGGAAAAAGCTATTTCAATCTACTCTGACTTAGAGCAAGTCAAGAGATGGAATATTGTCTGATGCTTATCTACCTGGCATATAACTCACATTTTCAGCCCTCTGAAAGAGAAAGGGAAGACATAATCACCACTATTAACTCCATTTCCCTGCCCAGCTCCCTGTAATGCCTCTTTCTTTTGCCTCATTGATATCTTTCATTTCATTTCCAAGATACACGTTCCTGTTTTGTTTTTTGTTTTTCCCTTCCCCCCTGGTGAGAACTTTTCAGCCCTGCTAGTTCGTCCTCACCTTTATTTACAAGCATTGCTTCGGTGATCTCATGAGGCTTCATGGGTTTAAATGCCATCTTGACACTAGTTTTTGAATGGGGAAACATACTTCTTTCTGATTTACATACTACATTCAACCCATTAACCAACTTTCAAAACCATATTGGCCAGGTCCAATCCACTATTACCTTTTGTCCAATGGCTACAATAACCTTTTTACTGGTCTCCATGCTTCCACCCTAAACCCTGACTCCTAAAGTCTATTCACAACCCAACAGTGATTCTTTATAAATCAAAATATGTAACTCTGTGCTTAGAGAAAGGACACTTGGTGGTACAGTGGTTATGCACTTGGCTGCTAACCAAAAGGTCAGTAGTTCCAACCCATCAGCCTCTCCATGGAAGAACAATGCAACAGCCTGTTTCCCTAAAGGTTTATAGCTTTGACCCTGTATAGCAGAGGTAGTCTGTCCTATGGGGAGACTATGAATCAGAATGGACTTAAAGGCAGTGGATTTGGTTTGGTGGGTACTCGGACAGTCAGTCTTCATCTACATTTCCCCACAAGGTCCTGCATGATCGAGCCACCCACTTTTCTATCACCTCTACCTAGTATTCTCTTCCTTGCTTACTCACAAAAACACTAAAGGCCTTGCTGTTCCTCAAACACACCAAACTCAAGACTGGCTAGACCAGAGGAGGTACACTGGTACAGATAGGAACTGAAAATACAGGGAATCCAGGATGGATGAGCCCTATAGGACCAGTGGTGTGAGTGGCAAAACAGGGAGGGTGGAGGGAGAGTGGGTAGGAAAGAGGGAACCAATTGCATGGAACTGTGTGTGGCCTCCTCCCTGGGGGACAGACAACCGAAAAGTGGATGAAGGGAGAAGTCGGACAGGGCAAGATATGACAAAATGCCCATTTGTAAACTATCAAGGGCTCATGCGGGAGGGGGGAGCAGGGAGGGAGGGGAAAAATGAGGACCTAATGTCGGGGGTTTAAATGGAGAGAAAATGTTTTGAGAAACGATGTACAAATGCGCTTTACACAATTGATGTGTATGGATTGGGATAACAGTTGTATGAGCCCCAAAAAAAAAGTAAAAAAAAAAAAAAACCCACTTAAAAAAAAAACAAAAAAAAAAAAAAAAAAAAAACCACACCAAACTAACTCCTACTCAGGACCAATGTACTTGCAGCCCTCTTCGCCTTTCTCCACTTATCTACGTATTTGCTCTTTCTCCTCCAAGGTTTCAATGTTATCTTTGTGCTGAAGCATTCCCTCTACTTTCCTCTGTAACAGTAACCTACCATGACTTTTAATTTTATTTGTGTCTCCCACACTGTAATGTCCAAACTCATTAGAGGCATTGTGTTCACTGCTGTATCTTCTGTGCCTAGCTCATAGTAGGCATTCAATAAATAGTTACTGAAAAGAAATTATTTAAAACCTTCAGTATGCATTTGAAAGATTCTTATTTAACCATCCTTTTCCTCTACTAAGGAGTTCCAGTGGTGCTGCTGGTTGAGCAATGGGCTGCAAGGTTGGCAGTTCAACTCTACCAACAGTTCTGGGGAAGGAATATGAGGCTCCCTGTTCCTACAAAGACTTACAGTCTTGGAAATCCTATCTAGGGTGCCTATGAATTGAAATAAACTTAATGGCTGCATTGATGGGCTCAAACATAAGAACAATTCTGAGGACAGCACAGGACCTAGCAGTGTTTCATTCTGTTACACACAGGGTCACTACCACCTGGAACCAACGCAACGGCACCTAACATGGGTTGAAATAAACTCAATGGCAGTTGGCTTGGTTGGTTGGTTTTTTCTTCTTCTACCAATCAGTCTGTCTAATCCAGCTAGGACATTTGTTTCTGATTCTCTTACCCACATGATTTCTCTTAAAGCCAGCCCTTTGAATAAGCCATCTTTCTTTTTCTGGAGTGCCCTCCCTGATGCCCTCCTTCAAAATGATGACTCTCCTCCTTCAAACTCACCTCTTTCTACAAAGCTTCTTCAAATTGGACCTACGTGCCCCTTGTCGAAGAGAACCTAGAAAATAAGAATGTTTATTGGATGAGTATGATAGAATTATGGGTGACATCTTAAACAAATCCCACTGTCCTAAAACTTTAAAGTGGTCCTAAAAGTGCAACACTTAGCAAACTTGCTAACCAAGTTTGGCAGTTTGAATATACCCAGTGACCACCAGGGATAAAAATCTGGCTGTCTTCGTCCATCATAAAAACTGCAAACCTACTGCCATCGTGTTGGTTCTATCTCACAGTGACCCTATACCTGCAATAAATATCCGAGGCTGTAAATCTTTATGGAACAGATAGCCTCATCTTTCTCCTGCAGAACAGCTGGTGGAGTTGAACTACCAATCTTGGTTTTGGGGTGAGCAGTACAATGTGTATCCATAAAGACCACACTCTAGGGAACTACGTAGCGGTAGGGTCACTTTATATTCGTAGTGTAGGCGCAGTCCTCCTTTCTCACATGGGGCCACTATGAGCCAGAATAGACTCAGTGGCACCGAGTAACAACAGAAACTACCGAAGAGAAGCGTGGGACTTGATGGAACATTAGGAGTTCTTATGATCCTGCAACCCTTCTTTCTCTTCAGAGTGACTGTCCTCACTACTCTTCCCCGTGACTACTGCACTCACATCTCCTTAATCTCATAATCTCTCAAAATGCGGCTTCTACTCTACCATCAGAATGGATGTTGGCCTTCTTGGTCCGTGGACATCAAATGAATGCACTCAAATTGTTCTTTTTGGTGCCCGTTCTCTCTCATTCAACAAGTCACTCCTTGGTCTGTACAGTGTTAAACGTTAAAACACTCTTTAAAAAAGATTGCAGTTGAGTGTGAACTCTGAAATCAAATAGATCTAGCTCTGAGCCAAAGCTCTGTCCCTTCCTAGTGATGTGCACTCGGGCAACTCTCTATGCTTCAGGTGGTTATCACAAAATGGGGAGAATAGAGCCGATGCCATAGGTTGTTGAAAGGATCAACTGAAGTAACAAACACAAGCTGAGCACAATGTCTGACACACTCACTCAATAAAGGCAAGCTATTCTTATTTAAATATATTCCCTTGGCTCAAAAGGTTCAATTTTCTTTACCACTTCCTCTCCACTCGTGCCTTTTAGAACATCACTATTCCCAAGAGCTTTTAAGAAGACCTCTAAAATAGTGTCTGCCACAGAGCAACTGCTCAACAATACTGCTTGAATGGAAAAAGGGCAACTCTTTCCATTTCTTGATTGGAATTCCCAGTTACTAATGGAATATTTTCACCTCCGTGTCACACTGGGGCTTCAAATACCTAACTTCAAAATAAAACCACTCAGGTAACATGTTTTTGGTTTTCTTTTTTTTAGCTCCTGAAATCTGACACTTGCCGAACCTAATCTATCATTTGTTGCACCCAAACACATTCTTCCGACTTTCCTCTTGCAGTTACTGCTTCTCCATCTTCCGAGCACCCTGGATTTGAACCTCTAAATTCACCATTGGATTACACTTTCTTATGACCCTCCCATCCAAATCCTGTATATCTGCTCTGAGCAATGACAATGTAAATTAAGGATCTCATTACTTCCTACCGAAACATCTATCATAGCTTAACTCTTTTACTATTCCTCAGCTCCCCTGGGCCACCTTCATCAAGTTCCTCAGTGGCTCCTCAGCGTCTAATGCATTCCAGCAAAGCCTAGAACGCACGGCTTTCTATTCAAGGGCAAACTTTGCTCTCCTGCCTTGTGCCTCTGTACACAAACTCTTGGCTTCTACCTAAGTTTCTGGAACCTACGCCGTTGTTCATGAGATGATCTCCAGTTAGACTATGCAAAACAATCCAGTCTCCCTGTGGGAAGAGCTCAGTGTGGGTTTCTGAGGCTGCATGGAAACAAAAAACCTCATGTTTCTCACACACAGCAGCTGGTGTGTTCTAACGGTGACTGTGCTTAGCAGCCCAACGTATGCCGGTATGCCACCAGAGCTCCCAGACACCACCGCTCGTGTTAAATTGTGTTCCCTCACCTTCTCTCCGCGCCCGATCCATCAAAATAAGTTAACTGTAAAAGAACTGCATTTGTAATTCTATAAAAGGCAGGAAATATAGTTCTTTGTTACTATCATTTCTCCCACGATCGTGTATGCTCCTTACAGAAAGAAACTATTATTCCTCTTTATATCTTTCTTGCAAATGCCTTGTTTCACAGACAAATGAATAGGCTTCGTCTCATTTCTAGTCTTCCATCTCTCTGACAGCTTTATTTGATACATTCTTTTACAGCTAGGCGACTGACAGTCAGCATTTGTTTAGCCCTGGGGCGTTTATTTTATTTGTCCCCACAACTGTGAAAACAACAATAACAAAAACCTCTTTTAATCCTTACTCCACACGGGCGACTGAGGTTTAGACTTGCATGAAGTTGGGAATTTCGGAACCCAGCTCCAGGATGTGCACATCCTGTGCTGCTTTTTCCCATTTCATCTCGCGCTTAACGCTCGCACTGCGGTGAGTCTAACTTTCCTCTTCCGGTCCCCAACTCCTCAAAACCATTTTTTGGTGTTTTTCAGGCTCGCGTCCCCCTCTTCCGCATTGCTTCTACAGTGTCTTCTCCCGCACAAGGTTTTCAATTCGAGCCCAAAAAACCCCATACTCACTCCACTCCAAGCTTCCGAGTCCCAGAAGCCAACCGAAAACAGAAGTTAAACCAGGGTTGTCGTGGCGCCACGGGGTGGGGTCCACACATCCATCCAATCGCCCTCGCGGTTACACGGCCCTTCGGATTACGCACCAATGAGAAAGCCGTTCACTAACAAGCACGCCCCCGAGTGGCCGCGCAGAGATCGCCGGGAAATGTAGGTTTTCTTCAGTGCTTGGCTGTCCCAGCCTAAGGCTACAAACCAATCCATGCAGGTTGTGTGGAGTTTGTGGTCAGAAGGCAACACATTTTAGATATTCCGTTTGTTGGCTCACTTACATTGTTTCCGTGAACTATTGCAGAAATGCGATGCATAAGCATGATACGAATCATAGGAACACTTTAGCATTGTATGGTACAAAGTATTACATATGAGATAATGAATGTAATTTACAAACTTGTTGATAAGAAGGATAAGATTCTTGGGGAAAAAAAAATTCTCTAATGACCAAGTTGCCTACAACTGGAGCAAGGCCTGGGGTTGAATTAAATTCCATACACAAATACATTCAGGAGATATTTTTTTCAGTTAGCTTTTGCTACCTAACAAACCACCTAAATTTTAGTGGCTGAAAATAAAAACTATTATCACATTAGACTTTTCTGATAAAACTGGGAGTTATATATAACTGGGGATTATAGGGGGTGAGTTTTTTTTTTAAGATCATTTTATTGGGGGCTCTTACAGCTCTTATAACAATCCATATATCAATTGTCTCCAGCATATTTGTACATATGTTGCCATTATAATTTTCTAAACGTTTACTATGTATTTGAGCCCTTGGTATTAGCTCCTCTTTTTTCCCTACCCCCCTCCCACCCTTGTGACCCCTTGATACATTATCAATTATTATTATCCTTGTATCTTACACCGACCGCCGCACCCATGTTTCTGTTGTTTGTGCCCCCTGTGTTGGTGATGGTGGTGGTGAGATTTTTGTGATTTTTTTATTGAATGTCTTTTATTTGCTAGATCTCACATAACTCAGTGAACCGCTCTTTCCAAAAGACTAGTGCAAGGCTGACTACTATCTTAATGTAACAGTAGAAAAATTGATTCATATACTTTTAGATTCTCCATTGCTCTCATTCACAAAACTACAAAACTACAGGTGTAAGTTCCTTTCTCCCAACAACATATCTGTGATTAGGCATTGTTTCAGAGAGTTCAACTCTAACAAAACTGCAGCAGATTGAATGCAGATACGGATATGAAAACTCCACTCCAACCTACTAAGCCAAACATTAAAGCAATTTCCAAAAGGAAAACCACTCTTCTCGCTTAATTTTTTGTTTTCATAAATCTAGTTGTTATTCACAAAAAATGTGTTATCCTTTAAAAAAATATATATATTTAAATTTATTTATTTTTGTGTCATCCTATTAACAGATAATAGGTTCATTTTTAAAAATATATACTTGAAATATTTCTTGGTTAATTTAAAAAGATGATAATAAAGATGATAAATATCAAGATGTATAATCCGCATAAACAAGAGCTTGTGGAGTTCTCATTAACATTGAAAAGGGTCCCCAAAAAACATTTAGGAGCTAGCTGTTATATGAAGTATCTAGCAGCAGGACCTCATGGCTCTATTACCATTTCTAAAGCAAAACCATTATTAATTTTTTCTTGTTACAAATAAACATAACAAAACATTTGCTATTGCAACATTTTCCCCCATTTTATTGGGATCTCTACGGATATTATGACAAGCCATAATTCATTTAGACTAAGCATGATTGTACAATTGCTGCCACCATCATTTTTTTTCCAATCATTTTATTGGGGGCTCATACAATTCTTATCATAATCCATCCATACATACATTGTGTCAAGCATATTTGTATATTTGTTGCCATCATCATTCTCAAAATATTTGCTTTCTGCCTGAGCCCTTGGCATCAGCTCATTTCCCCCCTCCCCCGCAGCTCCCCCTCTCCTTCATAAACCCTTGGTAACTTATAAATTATTATTATTTTGTCATATCTTACACTGTCCAACGTCTCTTCACCCACTTTTCTGTTGTCCACCCCCTACGGAGGAGGTTTATATAGATCCCTGTAATTGGTTCCCCCTTTCCACCCTACTCTGCCACCATCATTTGCAAAACATTTTCTGTCTTCTTGCACTTTTTGGTATCAGGTCCCCTTTATCCCCGCCCTTCCCCACCATCCCCACCAGAACTCTTGTTATGTTAAATATTATGTTTTTCCTCCCCCTTCCTCCCATCTTACACCATCCAATGTATCTGTTCACCTGCCATTCTGTTTTTCGTTCCCATTATTTCAACATGTTTTATGTACAGTTGAATGAGACATGTTTATCATCTTGTGCAACCATCACTAGCTGTTTCCAATGTTATCACTTTAAATAAGCACTCATGTTTTATTGATGTCTGCAGGTTCCCTGGTTCCCAGTTGCGCATATGGCTGCCCCTGACATCCGTCTTCAATGTTACTGCTCTTAGTTGTATTTGTAGTATAGCCCTTTTAGGAGGTTCCTTCTTTTCCCCTATCTCTTCAAACGTCTCATAAGTTGACTATTGATGTTGTTAAGGAAGCAATTCATGGCATGATCTGCCCTGCAGGATCACAAACCAATCAATTCTTGGAAGTCACTTAATCCTATTGGGTAGTTTTATGCATACTATTTGCATAATAGATTGATCAATTCCCATACAGTGGATAAAACAGACAAAATGTGAGACAGGTCTTAACCGAGTCCATAGTTTTTGGCAGAATTACAAACCCAAGGCCACAAAAGTCATCTATGAAAGAAAACCATTGCATCGCGCTGGTCAACTGTAACAAAAGCGATCTTGTTTATTTAGGAGTTGAGGCCTAGGCTTCTACTCTGACCCTCTTTGAACCCTGAGACCACCATGTTCTGAAAGAACCTGGTCCACCTGACTGAGATGAGAGCTTATGTTGAAAATTGTAAGAAAATGACAATATAATAAAAATTTATGAATTATCAAGGGTTCGTGAGGGAGGGGAAAAATAAGCTGCTACCAAGGGCTCAAGTAGAAACCAAATGTTTTGAAATGGATGATGGCAACAAATGTACAAATGTGCTTAACACAATAGGTGGATGTATGGATTGTGATAAGAGTTGTAGGAGCCCCCAATAAAATGATTTTTAAAAAAAGAGAGAGTTGAATCTTCTCAGATGACAGCCATCAAAATTAACAGAAATGTGAAGCCATTCTGCTCTCTCCAACTCTAGCCCAGTCAATGACTGTAGCTGTATGAGGGATCCCAGGTGAGATGATGAAAAAACCGGGATCGCTCACCCACAGAATGGTGAAAATAGTTTTTATTGCTAACTGTGTTAAGTCTGGGTAAACTAGGGAAAAAATCCACAGAAACTCACATGTATGAGAGAGTTTATATAAAGGGTAAGTGTACATTAAGAAAGCATCCCAACCCAGTCTAGTCCAAGCCCATATGTCCAACATTAGCTCATGTGTCCCACACCAATCTACAAAATCCTCCTCAATCTCACAAAACACATGCAATGACGTCGACTGCAGGAGGAAAGCCGAATCAGGGAGCATATAAGCATCTCAGCGCTGGCAGGGGTCTCCACATGGCTGCTCCAGCACCCAGGGCTGCATCAGGGTAGGTCCATGTGGCCTCTCCTCAGGGATGTCTTGCAGGAAGTGAGCCTTGCCAGCTGAAGCAGGGAACTGGCCTAGGCAGCTGCACCCTGGTCCGACCATCGGAAAGCAAAAGACCTGAGAACTAGAAACGTGAGGCTCACCGAGCCATTTATTTCTCCACCCTTCAATTAATCCCACGTGTTTATTCAGCCAGGTTGGCACAATAAACCTTAACCAATACAGTTTGAGGTGTTTTTTTTTAAACAAAATTAAGTCTAACTGTAGCAGAAGTATCCTCTGAAAGTGCTTTTGTATGAGGTTCAAGCTCCTGGGTATGAATAGGCACTAACCTTTATGGAAGTTATAATCAAATGGAAAGATATTATGTATGCTATTTTCACAGCCTGTTTGATGTGGTGTGTATTGGCCTTAACATTCACAATAAATACCAGCGTACTATTACCTTCAGTCGTCTCATGGCTGCCTCAGGGGGAACTTGATAATGGCGCAGTGGATAAGCTCGTTTCTCTGGGGGTGCTCTTAAGAAGTTACTAGTCAGGAGGAACTCTGGTGGTGTAGCAGGTCATGCGTTGCTTGGCTAACGAGGTCAGTTGTTTAAAAGGGCCAGTCTCTTGAGAGAAAGCTGGGCACTCTACGCCCTTCATCATTTAGAGTTCCTAAAACCAGCAGGGGCAGTCCTACTCTGTCCTCTAGGGTGGCTAGGAGTGAGACAGACTCAATGGCAGTGAGGGTTTTTGGTTTCTTTTTAGTTCTTAGGCTCAGTCCCGTGGGGCTGCCAGAAGGGGGGTGAAGTGTGGATCTTCTCTCTCTCTTTTTGTGGTTGTGGATGTCTTTCCGCATGGCCCTTTTTGGTCTTCAGCCTTTGCTTTGCCTTTGGTTTTGGGAGGGGCAGGGGCTTCCTTTTTCACTTTCGGTGCCATCTTTTTGTTTTGAACGAGATAGGGAGACATAGACTTAACATTTTTAGGTGCTAGAATCTCCAGATTGGACACACACAAACACACAGTGGCTAAAGAAACAGAAGGAGGTTAGGATTATTTCTAAACTTCTGCCTCAGGTAAATGGATGAGGCAATGAAGTCGTTCTCGGTAGCTGGGAGCACTGAAGCAACAGCGGGGAGTGATGACATTGAAGTCATTAAGAGGACTTTTTCAGTAGGCAGCTGGATGTACTCGCTTGAAAGTCAGGGCTAAGTCCAGACTGGAAGCTGGAAGTAGATTTGGGAGTTCTCAGGCTACACTTGTCAATTTACCTCTCAGGAATAGCTGAGGGTGTATGCGAACACGGGAACCATGAGTATATCTGAGAATGGGACCTAGGAAGGAATTTCCCTCCAAATGAGTCATATCAAGAACTA